TATTATGTTTATTGGAATCTTTTGCTAAAGAGAGAGCTTTGACTAGTTTACTGTAATTGCTTTTTAACTTTATTGCATGTGATCTAATTCACTTGTTTGGAATGATAAGGGACTCCTCCTTGTGCAGGGAGTTCGACTAGAAAACCTCCAAGATCCCTTCCAACTCTGTTATTCTGTTATTCTTTTTTTAAAATATATTCTTCTTTATTAATTTATTTTATTTTATTTTTATTATTCAAACTTCTATACCGCCCTTCTCCTTTCGGACTCAGGGTGGTGAACAGCCAAAATAAAAACATTTATACATAAAGTTACAGTTAAAAATAGATTTAAAATAATTAGATAAATTTGGCTCGTAATTTAAAACTTATCAATTTAAAATCCGTATCAAATTTTAAAACCAACCATAAAATCAAGACAGACCGGCTAGCTGAAAAAAATAAGTTTTTAGGGCCCGATATGTATATATATAATATATCTTCTTTTTAAATATATTTTTATTATGGTTTTCTTTTTCAAAATTCCAATACATAATTGAACCGACAGTGTCGTTTTCCCAAAAGACATTCTGTTATTCTGTTCATCATACGATTTTTGCCTCCAAAGCCCTGATCATCTCTTTTCTGCGTACTTTCTAGGGCAGGGGTGTCAAACCTGATTTCATTGAGGGCCACATCAGGGTTGGGTTTGACCCAGTGGTGGGTTGCTACCGGTTCACCCCGGATCAGGTGAACTGGTAGCGGCGGCAACAGGAGGCTCCGCCTGCCCACCCGGATGCTTCCGCGCATGCGCAAAAACTTTTGCACATGTGCAGAAGCGTCGTGCACACAAGCATGCACGCAACCACGAACGAATCGGTAGCAACGGGTTTTGAAACCTGCCCCTGGTTTGACCTTGGGGGGCGGGTGGGTGTGGCCAGGGTGGGCGTGGCCAGCCCAACATCACTTGTGTGCGGCCGCTCCCGAGTTCCATTTTTGCTGGCAGAGGGTTGTAGGAGGCCATCGCAGCCTCCCAAGCTCCGTTTTTGCTGGCAGAGGCGCTGCGGGTCGGTCCTTCGCTGTTTCTAGGACGGCCCCATGGGCCAGATCTAAGCACCCCATGGGCCGCATCTGGCCCACGGGCCTTGAGTTTGACACCCCTGTTCTAGGACCTTTTCCTCGTCAGAAGGGTTTATTTGTTTGGGCCATAAGAAGTTCAGTAAATACAGAACCCAGATACTTCCTTCCTTCTTGAAAGTAGCCCCACATTAGTGGATGGTGGCAGAAGAAGTGAAGACTTAGGACCAGAAACTCTCCTTAGCCAAAGGTTTGACAAGTGGAGGTGAGGTGAGGTATCTGTTTTGGCTCCGTTGCCTGAGCCTGGGCTATTGACAGATGCAGACTCTGAGAGTGAGGGGGAGGAGTTGGCAAGGCCTCCCTCTCCAGGACCCTCCTCTCTGGCAATGCCTCCGGAGGACACCGAAGGCCAAACGATAGGCTCAGAGCCAAGCACGTCCCCGCAGCCACAGGTGGACAGCGATGAGGAAGATAAGTGCTGGCTGGACCCTCGACAGAGGCGCAGGGAGAAGCGTGCACAGCAGAGGGGAAGGCGTGCCAGAGATTAGCTGAGTCACTGGACCACACCCAAGAGGGTATAAATGTGGGTGTGGTGGCCGGTTCAGTTTGTGACGAGCAAAAACTGGAAATACTCCATGATCTCTGCGTTACTGGCCTTTGCCTGCTTTATCGGACTGCATTTGGATTAATCCTTATATTATTGACACTCTGCCTGTTTTATCGGAATGCTGCAGTCTAATCTTTGTTTTGTGTGAGTAAAGTCTGAATTGGCAGCTAGCCACTGGGTTGCTGCCAGCTTTATCATCAAAGAGTTTTGTCGTGCGGCTTATTAACTCCGGGCCGTCTGTGGGTGTGTGTGCGTGGTACGGGGACAGAACAGTATCTGAAAGCCATAAAGTGGTGGATCCATATCAAACATAGGTGATATGGAGCTGGTTTGGAGGATTTAAAAATCAAAACAAAACTGACAGTCTTAAGTTCAGGTTTGCATAATACTTTTTATGTACAATCCCTGATCAGATTTGCCCGGAGAAAGGCCTTGTACATTTTCACACCTGAAAAGCAACTCAGCTTCCCTATCTTTCTTCTCTTCAACCAACCACAGACTCCGTGGCAAAAGCAAACTTGCGTTTTAAAGTAAAATACTGCCGGCCATTGATTTCTCTCTCTCTCTTTTTTTATGCGATATTTGTTGCCTGTTAATTATAATCCACTGCTGCTAGAGACTCTAGGAAGCAAACAGTGTCACCGTGTGGTTTCTGATTAAAAGGAAGAGTGAAAAAAATGATAGCATTGTATCGCTTTGGAACGCAGAGAGATAATTCGGGGTGCTGTCATTGAAGTTTGCTCCCCAAATTTCTTTTGTTTAGTTGTTGAACCCTCAAGATTCCCAGTAATCATCGCCATCTTATTAGAAGCTGAGAATTAGAATCTTAATATCCACCAGCTAAGTTGGAGAAAGCTGCTACCTTCTATTAGCAAATGTAATTTTAAGGTTCGTGCAAGCTACTTCAAAAAATTTTTTGCAAGCAGATACCATTAAATAAATATTTAGAATGTGGAGGAACCCTCAGTTAACTAAACAGCCTTTTCCTGTGTTTTTCATATTTCATATTCAAGATTATGAGGGTTGATGGTTTTTAGGGAATAAAATAGTTATTATCATATTCCAGTGGTGAACTCTAAAATTTGTTACTACCGGTTCTGTGGGTGTGGCTTGGTGGGGGGGGGGTAATGTGACTGGGTGGGTGTGGTCAATTTTTTTTTTTACTTTTAAAACATTTTTTCTACAACCTCTTCAGCGAAGAGGATGTAAAAAAATGCTTTCAAAAGGCTCTGACGATCCCAGCTGAGTTGCCTGATTGGCAGAGGCTTTTTTTCTTTTAAATGCCTCTGATGATCCAAGGTGAGTTGCCTGATCGGCAGAGACTTTTTTTCTTTTAAATGCCTCTGAAGCCCAAACCCTATATTTTAACAGGAAAAGTTGGGGGGTCGTCTTATACGCCCAGTCGTCTTATACGCCGGAAAATACGGTATTTTTTTTTGTGCCTCGGGGTTGAACTGTGAGGTCTTTGGTGCTCCCTGAGTTGGTTGTTTCCTCGCAAACCCGTTTCATTGCTCAATTAGGTACCCGACTCCTGCAGCAAACAATACTCCAATTAAGGACCTGCAGTACTAGCTCAAGATAAGCAATCAAAGAATAAACAGCCTAATCAAGGAACCACTAAGAACATTCCCATCAAAACCGGCAGGGCAAACGGCTTGTATAGGAACGAGAGTGAAACCCCACTCCCTTCTAGCACTGATGATGTTACCTAGTTTGGTAATGGAAGGTCTGCAAGAAAACAAGCTCAGAGAAGCACCAAGGACCCCACTTACTATGTCTTCCTGACTGGCACACAACCTGGCAACGTGTGCTTGTCTATTAAAAAATTAAAAAGTGGGTCCAGGCTGTGCTGTAGCCCGCAGAATAAATCACGTCCCACAGTCTCGGCTAAATGTCTCATCCCCCATGTTGAATAACAAGAGGAGGAAGGGACCTTGGAGGTCTTCTAGTCTAACCCTCCCTGCTCAAGCAGGAGATCCTATACCGTGATGGCGAACCTATGGCACGCATGCCACAGGTGGCACACGGAGCTATATTAGTGGGCACGCCAGCTCAGCTCTGGGGTACATGTGCGCGCCGGCCAGCTGATTTTCGGGCCTTCTGGGCCCACCAGAAGTAGGGAAACAGGCTGTTTCCTGCCTCTGGAGGGCCTGGGGGCAGGGTGGGGAAGGCCCGTTTTTCTTTCTTACCTGGCTCCAGATCCTCTCTGTGTATCTGGGAAGGGCAAAAACAGCCTTTTCCACTCCCTTGGAGGCCCTACGGAGGCTGAAAGGGCCCATTTCCCGACCCGCTGGGAAGTGCCCCAGCCTCCAGAGACTCCTAGAGAGGCTCTAGAGACTCCTAGAGAGGCTCCTAGAGATTCCTAGAGAGGTTCTGGAGGCTGGGGACAGCAAAAAAATGTCACTTCCTGTCCCACCGGGAGTTGGTAAATGGGCCCTTTCAGCCTCCGTAGGGCCTCCAAGGGAGTGGGAAAGGCTGTTTTCGCCCTTCCCAGATGCATAGAGAGGATCTGGAACCAGGTAAGAAAGAAAAACGGGCCTACCAGGCCATCATGTGCCAGGAGCGGGGGTGGGGTTGCATGCACATGCGCGTGGGCACGTGCATGCACGACCCTCCCCCGCCCCCCCTCTCCTGGCACGCAATGGCAAAAAGGTTAGCTATCACTGTCCTATACCATTTCAGACCAATGCTTATCCAGTCTCTTCTTGAAAATCTCCAGCGATGGAGCAATCGCAGCTTCTGGAGGCAAATCATTCCACTGATTAACTGTTCTCACTGTTAGGAAATTTTTCCTTAATTCTAGGTTGCTTCTCTCCTTGATGAGTTTCCATCCGTGGCTTCTTGTCCTTTGCTTCTGGTGCTTTGGAAAATAGATTGACCCCCCTCTTCTTTGTGAGAGCCCCTCAAATATTGGAAGGCTGCTATCGTGTCACCCCTAGTCCTTCTGTTCCTTAAACTAGACACGCCCAGTTCCTGCAACCGTTCTTTATAATGTTTTATCCTCCAGTCCCGTAATCGTCTTCGTTGCTCTTCCCTGCACTCTTTCCAGACGTCTCAACGTCTTTTTTATATTGTGACCAAAGCCAGGTGCAATATTGCAACTGTGGCCTTGAAAGCAGATATCACAGCTTTACTGTTGAAGTGGGTTTATGGGGTGTGTGACTTGTGGGTTTGCGAGTCTCGAAACACAGATGCCCTGCCACTAACCCACTGGACCAGTCTTTCTTTGACTGCTTCTCTCCCTCTTTTCTGTATGGCCAGCCTCTGCTTGACTAACCCGCTTGCCTTTTCTCTGCCTGTCCTTTCCCTCCCTTTGCTTCTTGTCCATGACAGATATCAACCTTAACTCTCCCAACAAAGGTCTCCTGTCCGATTCCATGACCGATGTGCCCGTGGACAACCCCAGCGCCTCTGCCATGGCTGCTCCGTCAAGGACCTTACCCTACAACGGTCTCACCGAAGCCGAGGAAGAAGAACTCAGGGCTGAGCTGACCAAGGTAAAAGTCGCCTTCTATCGCTCTTCGATGCTTACTCAGTTTCCACAATCTTGTTCGATGTGGGTTGAGCCAGTTTGGTCTAGTGGTTAAGGGACCAGGCTAGAAACCGGGAAACAGGGAGTTCTAGTCCCGCCTTAGAGTTGAAAGCCAGCTAAATGGGCCAATCACCATGATAAGATCTAGTCTTGGCTTAAGCATGAAAGCCGGCTGGGTGACTTTGGACCAATCACAGGAGCTTCTGAGTTCTAGTCCTGGATTAGGCATGAAAGCTGGTGGATGACTTTGGGCTAATCACCAGGAGACGTGAGTTCTAGTCCTGGATTAGGCACGAAAGCCGGATGGGTGACTTTGGGCCAATCACCAGGAGATGTGAGTTCTAGTCCTGGATTAGGCATGAAAGCCAGGTGGGTGACTTTGGGCCAATCACCAGGAGACGTGAGTTCTAGTCCTGGATTAGGCATGAAAGCTAGTGGGTGACTTTGGGCCAATCATCAGGAGACGGTGAGTTCTAGTCCTGGATTAGGCACGAAAGCCGGCTGGGTGACTTTGGGCCAATCACCAGGAGACGTGAGTTCTAGTCCTGGATTAGGCATGAAAGCTGGTGGGTGACTTTGGGCCAGTCACCAGGAGACGTGAGTTCTAGTCCTGGATTAGGCACGAAAGCCAGATGGGTGACTTTGGGCCAATCACCAGGAGATGTGAGTTCTAGTCCTGGATTAGGCATGAAAGCTGGTGGATGACTTTGGGCCAATCACCAGGAGACGTGAGTTCTAGTCCTGGATTAGGCACGAAAGCTGGTGGGTGACTGGGCCAATCACCAGGAGACATGAGTTCTAGTCCTGGATTAGGCATGAAAGCCGGCTGGCTGACTTTGGGCCAATCACCAGGAGACGTGAGTTCTATTCCTGGATTAGGCACGAAAACCGGCCGGGAGACTTTGGGCCAATCACCAGGAGACGTGAATTCTAGTCCTGGATTAGGCACGAAAGCTGGTGGGTGACTGTGGGCCATTCACCAGGAGACTGTGAATTCTAGTCCTGCCTTCGACATGAAATCTAGCTCTGTGACTTTGGGCCAGTCATTCCTCTCAACCCAACTCACCTCACAGGATTGTTGTGAGGAAAACGGGAGAAGAAAGAGTGTTATGTATGTTTGCCAGGCTTTAATTATTTGTAAGAGCAATAAAGAAGAGATAAAAATCTAATCAATAAACTAAACATTTAGGTTTATATTTTCTACTTTCTCCCCCCCTAAACAATTTATTTTTTATTCAAGCACTTCCATGAGCCACTTCATAATTTTTAGAATACTCTCTGGCTTCGTTGATAATGTTCCTGCAGCCATTATTAGATAAAATAGACCAGTATTTCTCAAGTTTGCCAGCATTTGGATGTGTGGACTTCAACTCCCAGAATTCTCCAGGCAAAAGGTAAACACTGGGACATTGAGGGATCTGGAGCTCTAAGGCTGTAGGGCCCAGCTGTCAATCATCTTCCCTGCCTCATCTGTTTTACAGCATGATAGGAAACTGCTGTGCTGCAAACCACCAATATGCAGCAACATTTTTATTTGCAAGATTTGCTTAGGTCAGTGATGGCTAACCTTTTTGCCATCGCGTGCCAGGAGAGGGGGGGCGGGGGAGGGTCACGCGCGCACGTGCCCACGCGCATGCGTGCGCAACCCCTCCCCCCCTCCGCTCCTGGCACATGATGGCCTGGTAGGCCCGTTTTTCTTTTTTACCTGGTTCCAGATCCTCTCTGTGTATCTGAGAAGGGCGAAAACAGCCTTTCCCACTCCCTTGGAGGCCCTACGGAGGCTGAAAGGGCCCGTTTCCCAACTCTCGGTGGGACAGGAAGTGACATTTTTTGCTGCCCCCAGCCTCCAGAACCTCTCTAGGAGTCTCTAGGAGCCTCTCTAGGAGTCTCTAGGAGCCTGTCTAGGAGTCTCTGGAGGCTGGGGATAGGAAAAAACGTCACTTCCTGTCCCACCGTGAGTCGGGAAATGGGCCCTTTCAGCCTCCGTAGGGCCTCCAAGGGAGTGGGAAAGGCTGTTTTCGCCCTTCCCAGATACACAGAGAGGATCTGGAGCCAGGTAAGAAAGAAAAACGGGCCTTCCCCACCCCGTCCCCAGGCCCTCCAGAGGCAGGAAACAGCCTGTTTCCCTACTTCTGGTGGGCCCAGAAGGCCCGAAAATCAGCTGGCCGGCGTGCGCATGTGCCCCAGAGCTGAGCTGGCATGCCCACTAATATGGCTCCGCGTGCCACCTGTGGCACGCGTGCCATAGGTTCGCCATCACGGGCTTAGTTTATCTAAAGATTTCCCAAGGGCAGCATGGTGGCTTAGAAGTGAAGACGCCCACCTCCCACTCAGAAGGTTGAGAGTTCAATTCTAGGCTGCGACAGACGTTTCTCTATCAGGGTGCAAAAGGAAAATATTTGCTGTGAACTCCACGTAGGCGTCAGGAAGGGCAGTCAACGCTCAACCCCACTTAATTGCCCTGACCCCACCCTGAAGCAAAGGATTACAGGGTTGTAAAAAGATTTTAAAAAAAATAAGATTTCCCAAGTAGGAAATACGGAGGGGGAATTTACTTTTTATTCAGTAAGCGTTTTGTGAATGGCTACATCCTTCATTGAAGGAAGGGACATGGTGGCTCAGTGGCTAAGACGCTGAGCTTGTCGATCGAAAGGTCGGCAGTTCAGCGGTTCGAATCTCGAGTGCTGCGTAACGGGGTGAGCTCCCGTGACTTGTCCCAGCTTCTGCCAACCTAGCAGTTCGAAAGCACATAAAAAAATGCAAGTAGAAAAATAGGGACCACCTTTGGTGGGAAGGTAACAGCATTCCGTGCGCCTTTGGCGTTTAGTCATGCGGCCACATGACCACGGAGACGTCTTTGGACAGCGCTGGCTCTTCGGCTTTGAAACGGAGATGAGCACCGCCCCCTAGAGTCAGGAACGACTACGACATATGTGCAAGGGAACCTTTTACCTTTACCTTTACTTCCTTCACTGTAGGTATATAGGTAAAGTATTTTCCATGGTAGCCTGTTTGTGAATGATCTTAAATGTTCAAAACACACCTTAAAATGTTTACTGCAGTGTTCTCAACCTTGCTAACTTTTAAGATGGGTGGACGTCAACTCCCAGAATTCCCTGGCTGGCCAGGGAATTATGGGAGTTGAAGTCCACCCATATTAAAATGGACAAGGTTGAGAAACCCTGTCTTAACACATTCGTTGCATTCATGCAACGTGCCTAACTTCCTGAACAGGTGTGCATTGTGCCTCAGGTAACTGATTAACCCAAAGAGCTAAATTTGCATTTCAGGTAAACTCTCTTAAAATGACTTTTTAAGTTTAATGCTGATCAAGCCCAGGAAGTCCCAGGAATGCAATTGGTGAATCGATCTGACCTGTTTAAGCATGTTGTGCGATCCTGCAGCTGAAATGTCTTTGGTGTCCTAAATATGCCTATAAAGTTGCCTATTAAGGCGACGCTTTTCTTGAAGAAAATATGGAATTTATTCCTTATCATCTATGCTGAGGCAGGACACATGACTAGATGAGCATATTCTACTGCAATGCTGGCAAACCTTTTCGGCACCGAGTGCCGAAACGGGAACACGCGCACACGGGGAAGCACCGGGAAACTTCTGGTTTCTGGTGTGCGCATGTGCACCGGTCACCTGGTCTTCTGGCACGAATGCGCATGTGAAGACCAGCTGACGTGCTCATGCGCGCACCGGAAACAGGAAGCTCAGCTTCCCAGCGTGCGCATGTGCGCCAGGGAGCTGCTCTTCTGGTTTCTAGCACTTCCCCACGCGTGAAGACCAGCTGGCCGGCACGCATGTGCACCCTGGGACCTGGAAGAGCAACGGGCAACGACTGGCGTGCCCGGAGAGATGACTCTGCATGCCACTTCTGGCACGTGTGCCATAGGTTCGCCATCCCAGTTCTACTGTATTGTACAGTAGAACCTTCATTTAGTGACCGTTCTAATTTAAAACATCATTTTAAAAAAGATGACTCACGACAGTTTTTCACATGACCCTTGCACAATTCCTGTAAGTCATATGATCAAAATTCGGGCACGTGACAACAGGCCCTATCCCGGGGTCATGTGATCACCATGTGTGACTCTCCCAATGAAATTCCAAAAAGCACAGTCCTCGAGGAAGCCAGATTCACTTAACAACTGAATGATTCCCCGAACCGCCGCAATGATTCGCTTAACGACCGAGGCAAAAAAAAAAGGTCATGAAATAGGGCAAAACTTAACGACTGTCTTTGCTTAACAACGGAAATTGGGCTCCGTTGTCGTAAGTCGAGGACTACCTGTACGCGTGAGTGTGAAGGTACAGACTTCCCGCCACCCCTTTTAACTGCTTGATCCATCAGAGTTGGCCCTTAAGCTGACGGTTAAGTGACTGTGGGCTCCTGCCTCTCTTGCCTGATCCATTCCTGAAGACAGCATGTCTTCCCTTTAGAGTAGAGTAGAACAGAACAGAACATGGAAGGAATCTTGGAGGTCTTCTAGTCCAACCCCCTGCTCAAGCTAGAGACCCTATGCCAGTGATGGCTAACTTTTTCCAGACCGAGTGCCCAAAGCACCCCGTGCATGCACGGCAGAGACCCAAAGACCAGCTGGCTGGCAGGAGGCATGTGCGCATGTGCAGCAGAGGTGAACCGGGGCGACGGCTTGCTTGCCATCAGAGAGGGCCATAGGTTCGCCGTCACGGCCCTCTACCATTTCAGACAAACGGCAGTCCAGTCTCTAGTAGTCAGATTAACGGATTTGGAAGGGACCTTGTTGGTCGTCTAGTCCAACCCACCGCCCAAACAGGAGACCCTACACCCGTGATGGCGAACCTATGGCACTCGTGCCACAGGTGGCACGCGGAGTCATGTTGCCTGGCACGCCAGCTCAGCTCTGTCAGCTGATTTTCGGCCCTTTTGGGCCCACCAGAAGAGGGCCTGGGAGGGGGGGAAGGCCCGTTTTTCTTTCTCCCTGGCTCCAGATCCTCTCTATGCATCTGGGGAGTGTGAAAACAGCCTTCCCCACCCCCTCGGAGGCCCGAAACGGCCCGTTTCTCAACTTCCGGCCTCCGAGGGGGTGGGGAAGGCTGTTTTCGCCCTCCCCAGATGCATAGAAAGGATCTGGAGTCAGGTGAGAAAGAAAAATGGGCGTGCCAGGAGTGGGGGGGGGAAGGGGGGTTGCGCTTGCATGTGCGTGGCGGGGCACATAGAATTATGGGTGTGGGCACACGCATGGGCAAACCTACCCCACCCCACCCCTTCCTGGCACGCGATGGCAAAAAGGTTAGCCATCACTGCCCTACACCATCCTCGACCAATGGCAGTCCAGTCTCTTCTTGAAAGTCTCCAGTGATGAAGCTCCCACAACTTCCGAAGGCAACTTCTCTTCCATGGGTTGATTGCTCTCACTGCCAGAAGATTTCTCCTTATTTCCAGGTTGAATCTCTCCTTGTTCAGTTTCCATCCATTCTTCCTTGTGTGCTTTGGAAAATAGCTTGACCCCTTCCTCCTCTCTGTGGCAGCCCTTCAAATATTGGAAGACTGCTATCCTGTCTCCCTTGGTCCTTCTCTTCACCAGACTAAACATACCCAGTTCCTGTCCCATTTCATTTGCTTCTACTCGTTCTTGCCTAATTGGGACTTTTTTTCCCCCCAAATACGTAGGTGGAAGATGAGATTGGCACCTTGCGCCAGGTGCTGGCGGCCAAGGAGAGACACTGCGGAGAGCTGAAAAGGAAGCTGGGCTTGACCCCCTTGGATGACCTGAAGCAAAACCTGTCCAAGAGTTGGCACGATGTCCAGGTTTCTAACGCGTAGGTGTTTCCTTCTTTGTGACCTTGTATGTCGTCGCACACAGTTAGGAGATAAAACACCGAAGGCGTGTAACCTTGCAGCTCCGCAGAAAAAGGAGAAGGCACAGGTAGTCCTCGACTTAACGACCAGCCTGCTTAGCAAGCATCCAACGTTGCAACAGGCCTACCTTGAGGCTAGAGGTGGTCTTGGAGTTATGACCACAACGATGCCCAAAATTGGTGGCCAAGCGAAACAATTTGTTAAGTGAGTTTTGCCCTCTTTTTTAACAATCTTTCCCACCACGGTTGTTAAGCGGATCGCCGCATTTGTTAAAACTATTCACGTGGTTGGTAAGTGAATCCGGCTTTCCCGTGGATTTTGCTCGCAAGAGGGGATCACATGACCCCCGGGACACGGTGACCGTCATAAATATGAAACAGCGTCCGAATTCTGATTGTGAGACCGTGGGGATGCTGCAACGGTCGTAAGTCCGTGGCAGGAACTTAAAAAAAGTCCCTGCAACGAAAATGACCCGAATGACAATGACCCGAAAAAGGAGTCATAAGTCACTTTTTTTCAATGCCATTGTAACTTTGGATGGTCACTAAACAAACTGTTGTAAGTCAAGGACTACATGTATTTGACAACTCAGATTTGAAGTTACAGCAGTTGGAAACACACATACATACACACACACACACACAGACTGGCATTCACGTGACCAAACTTCAGGCACTCAGCAACTAGGCCACGCTTGCGCCCGTTAGCAGCATCCCGCAGTCGCATGATCTCATTTTATGACGGTTTCACCGAACATCGGCATTTATTTCCCATTTCAGGGAAATGAACTGTTGGTTCCCATAATAACCTCAGCATTGATTTAACTACCACCACCCCAAAAAAAAAAAGATTTTAATATTGAGTCGGTCACGTGATCGGTCTCATTGTATGACCATAATGGGCAGGCTGTGTTAACGGTCGTAAGTTGAGGACTGTCTGTACTTTCCTCCCATTTGCCTCATGTGGTACCTGTGAAGCCCTTTGCATCTGTGGTCCCCGGGCAATTGACTTACATTCTGATGTGCCCCTGGGTAGGGCTTCCATTGCTCATGGGGGTGGGGCATACAGGGTCTTGCCTAGCGTGGCTCCCTACAGGAGCCTTAGAACCACTCGGCATCCTGGGATTTGTAGTCCTAGTGTGTCCGGAGGGCTCCCTACTGTGGAAGGCCTGTAGTATCTGGGAGAGGATTGTTTCAATCACAGGCATTGGTGCTAATGGTGACAACAGTAGAAAGCCCTGTGATTTTGAGCATTTATTTATTTATTCATTTATTTATTAAATTTCACTTCTATATTCCTTGAATTTCATTTATTTATTGAATTTTAGTTATTAAATTTCATTTGAGTTTCATTTATTGAATTCCATTTGTTTGTTGAATTTCATTTAGTTTGCTTATTGATTGGATTTCATTTATTTAAATTTCATCTATTTTATTCAATTTCGTTTATTCAGTTTCATCTACTGAATTTCATTTATTCAATTTCATTTGTTGAATTTTATTTATTCAATTCATTCAATTTCATCTATTGGATTTCATTTATTGATTAAATTTCATATATTTGTTTAATTTTATTTATTAAATTGCATTTATTTATTGAATTTCTTTTTATTTATTAAATTTCCTTTATTGAGTTATTAAATTTCCTTTATTGAGTTATTAAATTTCCTTTATTTATTAAATTTCATTTATTCAATAATTTCATTTATTGAGTTATTAAATTTAAGTTTAATTTCATTAAACTTGCATGCTGCCCATCTCTCCCTCCCAAAGGACTCTGGGCAGCTCACAGTGCCATAAATAACAGAATAAAACCATGAGAGGAGTAAAACCCCAGACATTGAAAGGGAAAACGTTAAAAGGAATATGAAAAGAGTTGAAAACGGGGTGGAGGTGAGATCTTCTACGTATCTATCGGGATTAGCCATGTCCAAAATGTTATGCCTCTCCTTGGAGCGTGCTCACCAGCAGTGGGTTTCCAGTATTCTTACTGCCGGTTTGCCGTGCACATACGCGCTTTCTGCACATGCACTCAGCTGTCCGTGTATGCGTGGAAAGCGCACGAGTGAGCAAAGCGCACGCGCCCAGCTTCGAAAACATGCCTAAATAGGACGGCATAGATCCGCGATCTCTGCTACCGGTTCGCTCAAACCGGTACGAACCGGCTGAATACCACCTCTGGTGATCACCCAAGGAACAGACAAAAAGTACCTGTCAGACTTCGATGCTATCTCATAATAAATGAATTTCCAAACTGCCAATCTTTAAGGAAATCTTCTCTTTAATTGAGCACAGCAACCGGATCATGACTCGATGCGGACAAGACTGACCTTTTGCCCCCCAATCCCTCCCTTTCCGATCCCCAATTATCTGCTTCTCATTGGCTATCTTCCAAGTCACTCCACTGACTTCTTGTCTCGTCATTTCACAGGAATGTCTCCCCCCCCTCCTCATTTCCACGACGACCGGGCTTCAAAGGGATTTAGCAGGCAAAAGTTCAGGGCTTATCTCTCTCCTCTCTATGCCAGCGGTGAGACGCTGACAGTACCATTTTTTGGTACTTTTCATTCAATTGATAATAAATTGCGGTTTGACTCCGCACAGATGACAACAGGAGGTGTGTTTTGGGCACTTGAGATAGCCCCAAGGGCACTGAACCTTGCAAGAAGTGCTGTGTTGGGTTTTCTCTCAGGAAACTCTCTTCCCTTCCAGCCCTTTTTCTCCTTTTCCCGACAGTCAGGAAAATTAATCCGTGGAACAGAACCCAGAGGTTGTGGGTTTCTCCGAAAAGTGCTTTTCCAGAAGACAACCGGACTTTCTTGTGCTTTTTTTTTTTTTGCTTCCCTTGAAGACGTTTCACTACTCACCCGAGAAGCTTCCTCAGCTCTGACTGAACCGAAGAAGCTTCTCAGAGGAGAAGCGAAACGTCTTCAAGATAAAAACCAACAAAGTCCAATTGCCTTTTGGAAAAGCACTTTCGGGACAACCACGACCTGGATGACTGAGAATCTCCACAGACATCCATCACTGGAGGTGTTTAGGAAGAGCTTGGGCAGCCATCTGTCTGAAATGGTAATAGGGTGTCCTGCCTGAGCAGGGGGTTGGACTAGAAGACCTCCCAAGGTCCCTTCCAACTCTCTCGTTCTGTTGGAGACTTCGTGGATAATACATCCACCTGGTCTTCTCGACCACAAGATAGACATCATCTAAAGACGGTATTTCTCAACCTGGGCAATTCTAAGAAGTGTGGACTTCAACTCCCAGAATTCCCCAGCCAAACACCTCTCTATGGTTCATTAAAGGACCCCTTCTTCTTTTTTTTTTTCCAGGGTCCTGGATGACCTGAGAAAAGATGATGATGGTAGTGGTGATGATGATAATGATGATGATGATTTTTTTGGGGGGGGGGACCATGCCAGGCCACTTCAAAGCAGCGTTTCTCAATCTCAGCCTCTTGGTGGCTGGCTAGGGAATTCTGGGAGTTGAAGTCCACACATCTTAGAATTGCCAAAGTTGAGAAACACTGACCTCGATCTCTTCCACTTCTGTTCTTCTTTTAGTTTTCCTCTTGGGTTTATTTTCCTCCCGTCTCCGCAAGTTCCTAGTCCTCATTTTTTAAAAACAAATTTGATTGACCCCTGGGTTTCCCCCCCACCAGCTATGTGAAAACCTCTGAGAAATTCGGCGAGTGGAATGAGAAAGTCACCCAGTCGGATTTGTGAGTTCCTTCCACCTTGCACGCACTGCCTTTTTCTTCTTCCTGGCTCTGTCGCCCTCTCGGCCCTGCGCCCCCTTATTTGGGGGGGGCAGAGGCTGCTTGTGCGCTTGGAATATGGCAGATTCCCGTCGGGGGCCTTTTGCTTCTTAACTTTCAGACTTATTCTTTGCTGGGAAAGGCATTTTCTTGGCCTTGTTAGATGCTAAATATCTTGCGATATTTCCCTCAGGTTTCCTGACGCCAAGAAAGGGAAATTCCTGTCAGCAGATCCCACCGGAAAACAAAAAAAATCATTATTTTATTTCAGTGAGATTCCCCCTGTCCTGTTTGGCTCCAGAGCGAAACGGGGTAGAGATCGTTTCCACAATTGTGGAAACTACAAACCACAATTGAACCCAACATTTCAGTTGCTAAGTGAGACAGTCGTTAAGTGAGTTTTGCCACACGTTACGACCTTTCTCGCATACAGTAGAAACCTCTGGTCACCACCATAATTTGTTCCCTAACTTTGGTCGCAAACTGATTTGGTCGTGTCCCGAACCTAATTTTGGAAATTTGGGGCTTACAAAAAAACATGGCACGGAAGGGAAATTAGGCCACGGGGAAAAAAAAATATTGGGAACTTTTTGGTCGTGGTCAGAAGCGTTTGTGGCCAGAGGTTCTACAGTAGTTGTTGATTGGATCACAGCCAATTAACAGTTAAGTTAGTAACACGTCCGTTAAGGGAATCTGACTTCCCCATTGGCTTTGATCCTCAGAAGGTCGCATGACCCCCGGACAAGCAACCGTCATAAATACGAGTCAGTTGCCGGGCGTCTGAATTTTGATCACATGACCATGGGGATGACGCAACGGCTGTAAGTGTGAAAAACAGTCATAAGTCACTTTTTTTCCTGTGCCATTGTCACTTTAAAAGGTCACTAAATGAACTGTTGTAAATCCAGCACTACTTATACCAGGGGTCAGCAACCTGCGGCTCTGGAGCCGCATGTGGCTCTTTCACCCCTCTGCTGCGGCTCCCTGGATCTCAAACTATATGTCACAACCACCAATGTGTGACACCTACCGGCACGCGATTTATTGAGCTTTTCAACCCCCGGTAGGCCAACCATAGATAAATCCAAGAAAAAGTTTCAGAAGAAAAGAGAACATTTAATTAATTCAACTAGGTATGCTAGTTTTGTGGCCGCTCAAGAAATAGTCAGGCGCGGGAAGGGTTTTTGTGGCTCCCGGTGTTTTTTTTTTCTGTGGGAAAAGAGTCCAAATGGCTCTTTGAGTGTTTAAGGTTGCAGACCCCTGACTTATACCGTTGTAACTTCAAACAGCCACTCAACGGATGATTGTAAGTGGAGGGTTTCCTTTATTTATTTTTTTATTTGATACCTTAGCACAGTGATGGCTAACCTTTTTTGCTGTTGTGTGCCAAAAGTGGGGGTTGCATGGGGGGTCGCGGGTGCAGATGCCTACATACATAATTCAATGCACCCCGCCTTCCCGCGCATGCACACATGACCCCCCTCCCCACACTTCCCCCTGCTTTTGGCACGCGATGGCACGGTGGGCCCAGTAGGCCCGTTTTTTCCCCTCCCCAGGCTCCAGAGGCTTTCTAGGAGCCTGGGGAGGGCAAAAAAACAGCCTTCCCCATCTCCCCGGAGGCCTTCTGGAGGCCGGAAACAGCCAGTTTCCCGACTTCCGGTGGGACCGGAAGGCCTGAAAATCAGTTGGCTGGTGCGCACTGGAGCTGAGCTAGGGCAACACACGGCGTGCCCACCAATATGGCTCCGCGTGCCGGAGACCGTGGCACGCGGAGCCATATTGGTGACCGCGTGGCTGGAGCATGTGAGCTGCAAACAACTAGGTCTGGATGGACATTAGTCCTCGACTTACCGACTGGTTGCTTAGCAACCATTCAAAGATATAACGGACCAACATTGGGGATACTAGTGAAGGATCTTCTGCATTGCTCTTCCAATCTAGAATCTCTCTTTGTGTTCATCACGGACAAGGAAAGGAAGATTTACAAGCCCACAAAGAGTTTTGGTAGCCGGCTTAATATTCCTCGGAGGGGTTCATGGAGTATGAACTCCCCCATCCTTCTTCCCTTTTCAACAAAAGAAACCTCCAATTCTATAGCCAGTTTGCAAGGCTGATACAGGTACTTCTCAACTTACAACAGTCTGTTTAGTGACCGTTGAAAGTTACAACGGCACTGAAAAAAGTGACTTCGGATCGGTTTTTCACACTTACGACTTTCCAGCATTTCCCACGATCAGGTGATCGGTTCGTATTTGTGACCGTAACCTGTGTCCCAAGATCTTGTGATCTCTTTTGCGACCTCCTGATGAGCGAAGTCATCAAGGAAGCCAGATTCACTTCACAACCGTGTTACTAACTGACCGACTGCAGCGATCCACTTAACAACGGAGGCAAGAAATGTCGTCCCAACGGGGCAACAGTCACTTCGCAAAACGTTTCGCTTCACAACAAGTTTCGGGCTCAGTTGTGGGCGTAAGTCAAGGACTACCTGTATTTAAAAAACAAACAAACACAGAACTTTGGTATCCTTGCAAGACTTAAATATCTGGTTTCAATCTTTGACGCTGCTCCATGCTAAAATTCTTCTAATCTGGTTGTATTCAGCAGACTGAATACAGCTTCTCAACCTTGGAAGCTTGAAGATGGGTGGACTTCAACTCCCAGAATCCCCCAGCCAGCAGCGCTGGCTAGGGGATTCTGGGAGTTGAAGTCCACCCATCTTCAAGCTTCCAAGGTTGAGAAACACTGGAATACAGCATCTTTTCCCAGAATTCTTAGCCACACCTAGAGAGCTGCAGGTAGGAGAAGGTGGCATTCAGCGGTTGAACTGTGTTGGGACGTATGTATGCTGCAGTTACCTTCTGAAGTACAGGTAGTCCTCGACAATGGTGAAATCTAAAATTTGTTACTATCGGTTCAGTGGGCGTGGCTTGGTGGGGGGGTAATGTAACGGTGGGCGTGGCCAATTTTTTTTTTTTTTACTTTTAAAACCATTTTTTCTACAACCTCTTCGGCGAAGAGGTTGTAAAAAAATGCTTTTTTAAATGCCTCTGACGATCCCAGCTGAGTTGCCTGATCGGCAGAGGCTTTTTTTCTTTTAAATGCCTCTGATGATCCAAGCTGAGTTGCCTGATCG